TACGTAATATATAATAATAATATGTAATAGAATAATAATATAATAAATATCTATAATATATAATAATATGTAATATATAATAAGTAATAGAATAAGTATAATAATATAATAAATATCTACAATATATAATAAAATGTAATATATAATAAGTAATAGAATAATAATAATAATAAAATATCTATAATATATAATAAAATGTAATATATAATAAGTAATAGAATAATAATATAATAAATATCTGTAATATATAATAATATGAAATATATAATAATAAATTATACAATAATATAATAATGGTGTGCCAGTCCCAATCCCGGTTAGGATTCAGGCCCGTCTGCTCGCTCTGAGGAGCATTAGGATAATAATAAGTAATATAATTATAATTCTAGAATAAATTGATTATATAATAACATGTAATGTATAATAATAATAAGCAATAGAATAACATTAATGTATATATATATATTATATGTAATGTATAATAATAATAATAATAATAATAATAATAATAATAATAATAAGTAATAGAATCAGTAATAGAATAATAATAATAATACTTACTGGGAACAATGGGGAGGGCTGGAGGGTGGGTGGGGGGAGCGCCTCCCCCTTGCCAATGATGCCGATGGCCTCCACGCTAAAGGTCATGTGACCCCCTCGGCCACGCCCCCTCCCACCTCCGCCTCCTCCTCGGCCAGCCATCCCCTCCCTTTTGGGGGCGGGACCTCGGTCACTTGTGGGCGGAGCTTCGGTCCAGGCAATAGGAAAGGCCCCCTGCAGGAAAAGAGAAGGAACAATCAATACAGATATCATTGAGTTCGGATTTAATTTATTTTGGATTTAATTTATTTTTAATACAGTTCGAACTGATTTAACGTATCAATAAATGCCAAAATGGCGAAGCAGCTGGCCCGGATGATCCGCGGATGCCCACCTCACCCTGCTTGGGTGGTGATGGCATGATCGTCAGCATAGGAAATCTGCTACGAAACAGGAGCTTTTTTGTTGAGTTCCAGGGCCAGAGAAGCAGATGGTGGAAACAGAAGAACGGCCTGCCTCAGGGGAGCGTGCTCGCTCCATCCACGCTCAACATCTACACAAATGACCAGCCACTGCCAGAAGGGACAAAGAGCTTCATCTATGCTGATGATCGTGCCATCACCACCCAAGCAGGGAGCTTTGAGATGGTTGAACAGAAGCTCTCTGAAGCTCTAGGTGCTCTTACTGCCGATTACAGGGGAAACCAGCTTGCTCCATTCATGTTCAACATCGACACAAATGACCAGCCACTGCCAGAAGGGACAGAGAGTTTCATCTATGCTGACGATTGTGCCATCACCACTCAAGCAGGGAGCTTTGAGATGGTTGAACAGAAGCTCTCCAAAGCTTTAGGTCAGTGTTTCTCAACCTTCCTAATGCCTCTTAATACAGTTCCTCATGTTTAACATTTTGCACAAATGACCAGTCACTACCAGAAGGGACAGAAAGTTTCATCTATGCTGACGACAGTGCCATCAACGCTCAAGCAGAGAGCTTTGAAACGGCTGAACAGAAGCTCTCTGAAGATCTAGGTGCTCTTACTGCCTATTACAGGGGAAACCAGCTTGCTCCATCCATGTTCAACATCTACACAAATGACCAGCCACTGCCAGAAGGGAGACAGAGTTTCATCTATGCTGACGACAGTGCCATCAACGCTCAAGCAGAGAGCTTTGAGATGGTTGAACAGAAGCTCTCCGACGCTTTAGGTGCTCTTACTGCCTATTATAGGAAAAACCAGCTTGCACCATCCATGTTTATCATTAATACAAATGACCAGCCACTGCCAGAAGGGAGTTTCATCTATGCTGATGATCGTGCCATCACCACTCAAGCACAGAGCTTTGAAATGGCTGAACAGATGTTCTCCGAAGCTTTAGATCAGTGTTTCACAACTTTCCTAATGCCTCTTAATACCTCATCTTTAACATTGACACAAATGACCAGCCACTGCCAGAAGGGACAGAAAGTTTCATCTATGCTGACGACACTGCCGTCACCGCTCAAGCAGAGAGCTTTGAAACGGCTGAACAGAAGCTCTCCAAAGCTCTAGGTGCTCTTACTGCCTTTTACAGGGGAAACCAGCTTGCTCCATTCATGTTTAAACATTGACACAAATGACCAGCCACTGGCAGAAGGGACATAGAGCTTCATCTACGCTGACGACAGTGCCATCAACGCTCAAGCAGAGAGCTTTGAAATTGCTGAACAGAAGCTCTCCAAAGCTTTAAGTCACTGTTTCTCAACCTTCCTAATGCCTCTTAATACAGTTCCTCATGTTTAACATTTACACAAATGAGCAGCCACTGCCAGAAGGGGAAGAGAGTTTCATCTATGCTGACGACAGTGAAATCAATGCTCAAGCAGAGAGCTTTGAAATGGCTGAACAGAAGCTCTCCGAAGCTTTAGGTCAGTGTTTCTCAACCTTTCCAGTGCCTCTTAATACAGTTCCTCATGTTCCACATTTACACAAATGACCAACCACTGCCAGAAGGGACAGAGAGTTTCATCTATGCTGACGATCGTGCCATCACCACCCGAGTTTACTGTAGTGTGCTGTTCCCACAGTACGTTCGGAAATTTTTCCCTGTGGATATGGGACTTGTATGGTAGAATACTTTGAGAACCATATCTCCCAGCCGTCCTCCTGAGAAAAATGTATAATATCACCAAGGACGACCACCTCACCCACCTCATAGGAAACCTGCTACAGAACAGGAGCTTCTTTGTTGAGTTCCAGGGACAGAGAAGCAGATGGCGGAAACAGAAGAACGGCCTGCCTCAGGGGAGCGTGCTTGCCCCATCCATGTTCAACATCGACACAAATGACCAGCCACTGCCAGAAGGGACAGAGAGCTTCATCTATGCTGATGATCGTGCCATCACTGCCCAAGCCGAGAGTTTTGAGATGGTTGAACAGAAGCTCTCCATTATATTATTAGCATAATACAATATCCGTATTACATATTACTATATTGTACTATACCCTTATATTGTAGTATTATTAGTAATATTTGAGTAATATAGCAAAGTAATAGTATTCATAATTTAATTTAAATATGTAACTCCTTAATATTTAGGAAACATTGCAAAATAATATTCGTTTACTTAATAATTAGTTTGCAAGGTTACCTAAATATTATTAATAATTAAATATATTTTGCAATGTTTCCTAAATATTAAGGAGTTACATATTTAAATTAAATTAAATGAAAAATAATACTTGGCTATATTAATTACTCAAATATTTCAGAATGCATTAAACGAAATGGTAAATTGAATTTTAATTTGACATTTAATTTAATGCATTTTTAATATTAGAATAATATCGCAAAGTAATCTTGTTTATCATTTAATTTAAATATCCAAGTCCTTGATATTTAGGTAACATTGCAAAATAATATTTTGATATTTAATTTACCATTTAATTTAAGGCATATATTATATAAATATTAAAAATACATTAAATTGAATGTCAATTTACCATTTAATTTAAGGCATTCTCAAATATTTGAATAATATAGCAAAGTAATATTGTTTATCATTTAATTTCAATATTTAACTCCTTGATATTTAGGAAACATTGCAAAATAATATTCGTGTATTTAATAATTAAATAAACCAATATTACTTTTGCAATGTTACCTAAATATTATGAATAATCAAATATTTTTGCAATGTTTCCTAAATATTATGAATTAAATATTTTTCCAATGTTACCTAAATATTATGAATAATCAAATATTTTTTGCAATGTATTGTCGAAGGCTTTCAAATCAAACCGATCTTATTTTTTGCAATATTTCCTAAATATTATGAATAAATACATATTTTTGCAATGTTTCCTAAATATTATGAATAATTAAATATTTTTGCAATGTTTCCTAAACATTAAGGAGTTACATATTTTAAAAAATTAAATTAAATTAAATTATAGATAATATTACTTTGCTATATTCCTCAAATATTTCAGAATGCATTAAAATAAATTGCAAACACATTTAATATAAGGCATGTTTAATATTTGAATAATTTTATACTATAATTTATATATAATAGATATAATATAATTTAATATTATTTATCATTTATTATTTAATATTATTTATCCTTTAATTTAAATATTTAACTCCTTAATATTTAGGAAACATTGCAAAATAAAACTTCATTATTTAATGTATAATTTTATAATGTAATAGATATAATTTAATTTATTATGAATAAATACATATTTTTGCAATGTTTCCTAAATATTATGAATTAAATATTTTTGCAATATTTCCTATTTCCTAAATAGTATTAATAATTAAATATTTTTGCAATGTTTCCTATATATAAAGGAGTTACATATTTTAAAAAAATTAAATTAAATTAAATGACTGATAATATTACTTTGCTATATTACTCAAATATTTCAGAATGCATTAAAATCAATTGCAAACGCATTTAATTGAATGCATTTTTAATATGTGAATAATATAATTTTATAATATAATTTTTATATAATATATATAATATTATTTAATATTATTTATCATTTATTATTTAATATTATTTATCCTTTAATTTAAATATTTAACTCCTTAATATTTAGGAAACATTGCAAAATAAATCTTCATTATTTAATTCAACATTTAATTCCCATGCATTTAATAATAATAATAATATTGCAAAAATAAAGTCGGTTTGCTTTCCTTTGCAGCAAAAGAAAACTCACGTGACCCGGAAGGAAGGAGCGGCGCGAGCTGAAGAGGCTTGCCCGGGAAACGTTCGAAATGGGCGGAGCCTTCTTCCCAGGCGGCCAATGGGAGCGGAGATCCAGGGAAGAGGCGTGGCCGGGGCTTTCTCTTGTGAATGGAGAGTGGGCGGGGCTTCGGCCTGCCTTTGCCAGCAGTGGGGAAGAGGCCTCTTTCCACGCATGCGCAGAATAGATTCCTGGGTTTCTCTAAGGAAGAAGTCACTTTGTTTCCTATTTATATTTTTAAATGGCATAAAATAAATAAACAAACAAACAAACAAATAAAATAAAAATAAATAAAAATAAGAGATAATAATATTCTATCCCTAATCATAATAATATATTAATAATAATAATATATAGTAATATATAATAATAATAATAATTAATTGTGCAATATGTTCGGTTGCTAACTGTTTTTATACTGTAGCACTGAATTTTTGCTGTTCGTATTTGTCTGCTGGAGCTAGGTGTGAATGTTTCAACTGACCACCTTCATTAGCATTTGAAGGCCTGGCTGAGCCTGGGGGAATCTTTTGTTGAGAGGTGATTAGATGTCCCAGATTGTTTCCTCTCTGTTGTTGTGCTGTTGTAATTTTTTTAGTTTTTTAATACTGGTAGCCAGATTTTGTTCATTTTCATGGTCTCTTCCTTTCTGTTGAAATTGTCCACGTGCTTGTGGATTTCCATGGTTTCTCTGTGTAGTCTAAACCCAATTCCTCAAGACCTTGGCCTGCACTTAAACACAATCGGCGCTGACAAGATTACCATCTGTCAGCTAATAATAATAATAATAATAATAATAATAATGCATTTGACACATTGTTGGATTATTAAATGTCTAAACCTAGAATTGGAAAGGATTCGAGAGGCCATCAAATAAGATTAGATTCGAGAGGCCATCAAATAAGATAATCTTCCGAAGAAGATTAAAAACCTGGATGTTCGAACAGGCATTTGGTTAATCGGTTAATGATTGGTTAATGATTACAGGAATGGTAATATGGACGACGAAACTGGATCACGATTTTAGTCATGAGATGCATTGGGTTGTTATTGTTGTGTCAATATTGTGTATTATGCTTTTATGGTTTTAAATTGTATATTGTTGACTGTTGTACCTTTGTTGTAAACCGCGTTGAGTCGCCTGTTAGGCTGAGAAACTGCGGTATGCAAGTAAAGTAAATAAATAATAAATAAATAAATAATAATAATGATGATGATAATAATTCTAGAGTTGGAAGGGACTAATGATAATGATAATAATAATAATAATAATAATAATAATAATAATACCATACAATCCTAGAATGAAGAAGAAAAAGGTTAGGAGGATATTATATAATAATAATAATAATAATAATAATAATAATAATAATAATATTGAGAGGGACATCATATAACAACAACAACAACAACAATAATAGAGTTGGGAGGGACAGCATATAATAATAATAATAATATTGTTGGGAGGAACATAATAATAATAATAATAATAATAATAATAATAATAATAATAATAGAACCATACAATCCTAGAATTGGAAAGGATTCCAAAGGCCATCAAATAATAATAATGATAATAATAATAATAATTCTAGAGTTGGAAGGGACTAATGATAATGATAATAATAATAATAATAATAATAACAATACCATACAATCCTAGAATGAAGAAGAAGAAAGTTAGGAGGACATTATATAATAATAATAATAATAATAATAATAATAATAATAATAATAATAATATTGGGAGGGACATCATATAATAACAACAACAACAACAATAATAGAGTTGGGAGGGACAGCATATAATAATAATAATATTGTTGGGAGGGACATCATATAATAATAATAATAATATTGTTGGGAGGAACATAATAATAATAATAATAATAATAATAATAATAATAATAATAATAGAACCATACAATCCTAGAATTGGAAAGGATTCCAAAGGCCATCAAATAATAATAATGATAATAATAATAATAATTCTAGAGTTGGAAGGGACTAATGATAATGATAATAATAATAATAATAATAATAACAATACCATACAATCCTAGAATGAAGAAGAAGAAAGTTAGGAGGACATTATATAATAATAATAATAATAATAATAATAATAATAATAATAATAATAATAATAATAATAATAATAATAATAGTGTTGGGAGGAACATAATAATAATAATAATAATAATAATAATAATAATAATAATAGTGTTGGGAGGAACATAATAATAATAATAATAATAATAATAATAATAGTGTTGGGAGGAACATAATAATAATAATAATAATAATAATAATAAAAATAATAATAATAATAATAATAATAATAATAATAATAATAATAAATAATAATAATAATAATAATAATAATAATAATAGTGTTGGGAGGAACATAATAATAATAATAATAATAATAATAATAATAATAATAATAGTGTTGGGAGGAACATAATAATAATAATAATAATAATAATAGAGTTGGGAGGAACATAATAATAATAATAATAATAATAATAATAATAGTGTTGGGAGGAACATAATAATAATAATAATAATAATAATAATAATAATAATAATAATAGTGTTGGGAGGAACATAATAATAATAATAATAATAATAGTGTTGGGAGGAACATAATAATAATAATAATAATAATAATAATAATAGTGTTGGGAGGAACATAATAATAATAATAATAATAATAA